GGTTACTGGTTCATCACCTAAACCATGTGAAAATCCAATTGGCGATCATTACTTGTTGAAGTCAATAAAGAACAAGATTGATTATTGCAGGCTTCATGGGATTGAGATTTTTTACAATATGGCTTTGCTTGATGCTGAAATGTCTGGTTTTTGGGCTAAATTGCCTTTGCTTAGGAAGCTTTTGCTTTCACATCCTGAGATCGAGTTTATTTGGTGGATGGATAGTGATGCTATGTTTACTGATATGGCTTTTGAGCTGCCTTGGGAAAGGTATAAAGATGTTGATCTTGTTATGCATGGATGGAATGATATGGTTTATAATGAGAAGAATTGGATTGGTTTGAATACTGGTAGTTTCTTATTGAGGAATACTCAATTTGCTTTAGATTTGCTTGATACTTTGGCACCTATGGGACCAAAGGGAAAGACTAGGGATGAAGCCGGGGCAGTTCTTACTCGGGAGCTTAAAGGTAGACCAGTTTTTGAAGCTGATGATCAGTCTGCAATGGTATATATATTGGCTACTCAGAAGGAGAAATGGGGTGATAAGGTATATCTTGAGAGTGCTTATTACTTGCACGGTTACTGGGGTATTTTGGTGGATAAATATGAAGAGATGATTGAGAATTACCACCCGGGTCTTGGTGATCATAGGTGGCCACTTGTTACTCACTTTGTGGGTTGCAAGCCTTGTGCAAAGTTTGGAGATTATTCAGTAGAGAGGTGTTTGAAGCAAATGGATCGTGCATTCAACTTTGGCGACAACCAGATCCTTCAGATGTATGGATTCACTCATAAATCACTTGGTAGTAGGAGAGTGAAGAGAACACGGAACGAAACAAGCAATCCGCTTGAAGTGAATGATGAGCTTGGGTTACTTCACCCACCATTTAAAGCTGTCAAGGTACCGTCATCTTCTTGAATGCACAAGAAAGAGATGCATTAAAGTCGAGATTAGGATGCTCTTTTACCTTAAATTTTTGTACCACTTATTCACGATATGTGCCACGATGTACTTGTTATTTACGCCTGTGTTAGAACACTGGTTATTGTATTCCTTCATTTGTCATAGTGTTCTTGTGACATAATCTTTTTAAGTTATATAAATTTCAATGGAAGGCATAATTGAATTCATATTGTATGTTCTCCTTGTTCATTTTTGGTTGCCGTTGTGATTTGGAGGCATCTGCTTTGGTGCATTCTTCCTTCGTTGAGGTTATATTCTTTGCTATTCTCATTTTGTATTGGATGCCGCTGAAGGATGGATTCTTATTGCTGCGCATAGTTCTTGCGATGAACATTCTTGGTTAATTATTAATACTGCCACATTAAGTTTCTATCATGCTGGAGCTTTAAACCAAAAATGTGTTTCTGCGAAGAGTGAAGGTAGTACTGGAGATATTTTTTTGATTGGTGAAAAGTAAATTCATTGATGTCAATAGGACCAAGTTGGTACCTATCATGTTACCAAAAGTGTTATGTATTCCATCCCCTCTAAGTCCATAAGAAATTCATGAATTCCAATATATCTTCTATTTCCTGTACAGGTTTCCTTTTACACCAAGAATTTAAGTTCTGTAGACAAATAGATCAAGTCAAGCTTCATTAATTGCTAGCCATCCAAAGATAGCCAGTGTTTTGGGACATAAGTTCTTCATATCAGCTTCCAGGGCCATTGTTGCTTCCTTCCTCTACTGCTTTAGATAGCTAATCAGCTAATAGAGTCTCGTACAAAGGGTTGGAAATAAAGCTTTTACCTTATTTCAGGGGGGTTAGTGTGTATCGTTCGGGGATCACATTGGTGGGAATAAAGGCCGACACGTCTCCCGCTTGTGTTTCAGTGACGGGTAAGGCGGTCAAGCTACATGTGCCTGTTTGGTCCCATCGTTTAGCCGCTCTTTCTAAGAGACATGAATGTAAATTGAAAACATCCCTTGGGAAAGCCTCACGACCTGATGGTCAGCGTAACAATAATGACATTTGTCGGTATGCTACTGCGTGTTTACTAAGATTAGACTGAGGAAATTCTTTTTTTCTTAGCCATCCATACCAAAGAATCAGATCTGTCCCTTGTTAACACTATACTGTCCAAACTTAGTTATGAGCATGCTTGCACTCTCTAGTTCCCAATCTTGAAGGTTTCTTCTGAAATGGAGATGACAGTTAGTTGCATTAAAGCAGTGCTGCAGTCTTTGCCGTAGTTCCTCTTTGCCATCAGTGTTTTTAAAAGGGAAAAGTGAGAAGCGAATATCGCAATTTATGAAAAATTTAGAACTGTCAAACATACATGAATTTAGGACTATATAAATTAAAAGGTAATTAAATACCTAATTTCAACTTTGATATGCACCAATGCTAATATAGATACAACTCTTACAGTTGAGATTGAAAGGACTGCCGATGTTCTTTTGGATCACTTTGCATTGCAATGAAGCGATAATGCCTCCCTTCGCATTGTTTCAGCTCTTTAAGCAATGAAGAGATGGCTTTTTAATAACATTGTTTGCCATTGTTGAACCTCCAGAACCATTTGAACAAAAAAAGCTTTTGTTATGGAGCCTAAAGTTTCTAACTCCAAGTCCTGCATATATTTTCTGTCTCATCACTGTTGATCACTTAATCAGATGTAGCTTCCTTCTATCAGCATTTTCTTCCCACAGTAACCTCAGTCTGTCAAGGTTGTGTAGTGATCTTCACAGGAATGGGAAATAGAGAGACATCATATTTGTTGGAATACCATCTAGCGCACTGTTAATGAGTGTCTTATATGCTGCTAATCTTAATTTTTTCTTTTTCTTGGAGGAGTAATTATGCTGCTAATTTTTATGCACTCTGCATATCCTGTCAAACAATAGCAAAGTCAGACAGCCAAACTTGACATGGCCAACTTACGAGGACTTCATGCAGGGTTCCTCTGTTAGTAAAGGTATTTTACAAATTATTGAGAAATTTATTAGAGGTTTCACAGTTTGAAAAGTATCTATCACTAAGATTCATTTGGATGATTCCAACCCAATGTCCCGGTTGGAAATGTGAAGCTTAGATATCTATAATAGCCTACTGGATGGTATTTGAAATCTTGCTATGAGAATATTCACCTAGATTTGAATAGTATTATTCAAAAGATTTGTGTTGGTGTAGTAGCTATCTTGTACACTTCTAAGAACAAGATGCCATGTTTTTCTTTTTTAAGTTTTAGCCTTTTGCTTTTTGTTCTTGTATAGTTTTATTGAACTTGAGAAATGGGTGAAACCGTGCAAACAGAGCAGACTGGATACAGAGAGTTCATATAGCACTCCAGCTAGTCTGGAACTCTGGATTAAGGTTGCAAGTAATTGATTGATTGGCAGTTTCATCGAGCTAATAGAACTCAGGCCCTATTGCATTTCTTTGGGGAAGTGATAGAAGCATCGCCGATGGGCTCTGTTCCACTTTGTTAGTTGCACATAAATAGCATGTTATTTAGTTTTGACCTCTAGGTTCTGAAAGTATTATCATGCATTCTGTTTCATTTATGTAATGTTAGTGAGTTCAGAATCTTTTTCCAACTATATCATAGTTGATTCACCTCAATTACAGTCTATTTTGATGAGAGAATAACTATCCACTTGGCTTAGAAAGAAGTTTATAGTCCTATTTGGTAGTTTTCAAGGGGTATACTAGTTATCTTTTGGAATGCAAGTTGCAGGAGAATGTAGCACAAATATGGGGACTGGTCTCGGGACCAGGGGTGCATGTAAGAAAATTATATGCTGCTTAGTTCTTAGGGAAGCGGATAATGAGAAAATTAGCAATGACAGCGCATGTTAGCAGCTTACAATAGCAGCAGTTAGGTGAGTTTCAATTGTATAAATAAGAAAGTGTACTCTTTACAGTAGAATATCAATACATTATGCTATTTTTGTTCATTTCTCTCAGGCTTGTTGCTTAGTTTCTGCATTATCCCTGAGCTGCCATTGAAGCTCTTGAGCTGTGTTGTATTGCTTCTGAACTAAAGTTACCAACATCATCATATCAAGAACCCTCAAGCCAACTCCAAGAATCCATTTTTGAAGAGTAATATCAATGGAAGTGTATGTAATACCCGCTTCATTTCGTCATCTGTGTTATACAATAGCAGGAAAGCATAAAAATCTTGTTATCATGTAATAGGATCATATCCTTTTTTCCATGCAATGGTAAAACTAGCAAGTTGGTAAAAGTTATTTTCTTGCATTACAAGTAAAATCTTGGTCATTCACCACCAAAACCAAAGCCATTGCAAGAACCAACGTGCTATCATCGGTGATGGCTGTCTTGATTTCGATTTCATTCTCCATTGGCGACGTATGCAGAAAAGTTGGATCTTGAATCTAAGAAGAACTAGACGCAATAGAAAGTGTGTTTGAATTTAAAAAGTGGAAAGCATAGGTGTCTCGCTTAAGGAATTTGTATCATTTTTCCAGCCAGAAACACAAATAAGAGAAGCAAGCACAATTGTCTCATCTCAATGCCAAAGTTAAGTGTGCTTGGGCGAGAGTATACTATAATCGGTGACCCCCTTGGAAGTTCTCGTGTTGCATCCAGACGCCACTTGTGGGTGTTCAAACTGATGTACAAAATGAATCGATTTAGCTCTCTAATAAGAGAAAAAAGAAGTTGCTTGCAAGCTGCTGCAATGCTAATTGCAAGCCTCTTTGGGAAATTGTTTACAAGCTACTTGCTTGATTGCAAACTCCTCCATTGCAAATTTCTCCTGAAAGCTTGTAAAATTGTAAACCTCTTCAGAAAACTACTTTCAAGTTATTTGCAAAGGAGTACATGAAATTGTGCACAATTTGATGTATTCATAACACGTTCACATTTTTGAGTTTTCACGTTCTTTTTTTGTTTGTATTGCTTTGAGCCTTTTGCAAGAGAACTTTACCTTTTCACTCAATAGTTTGCAATCTTTTGAATCATGCTAAAACATTGCAAAGCTAAAAATCTGTTTACAGCAATTCAAAGGATAATATCCTTGGTTTCATAAAATGGGAAGACTTGATGTAAAATATCCTGCTAAATGTGCATACATAGTTACTGAGATCATCTATCATCTGATATTAAGAAACTCAATTGAGATGTCAACAATCAACTACATCGGGAACCGGTTTCTCCTTACGATGCTATACTGTTGTTCATTGTATACTACACAGTATACAAATCACAAATGCAAGTCTACTTCAAAAACTCTCCTTCTACGATAGTGATCTTCTTAAGATCTAAAATAGTATCCATTTTATAACATCATAATTAAAGAGCAACACTCCTGGAACTAAAATATAGTGAGATCCAGGGCTCAATGGCTCTGTCCAAGTTCTCTAACAATCAATTCCATAGATTGTCCAAGTTCCCTGCACAAGGCATAGAACAAGTGTTAAATGGATTATATGGCATTATACTCAACAGATAAATGCATGTGCTAACCTGTACCCTCAACATGTCTGTAGACTATATGTTGTAACATGATAGCAACTTCAGAAGAATAAATATGAAAGCCAGCAACATTCATTAAAAGCAACGGATTTGGCTAAAGGTGTAGCCTTCATAATACTGCTGAAACTGTTATTTGTCAAAGTTGCAATCACAGTTTTGCTATGCAAATAAAATAGAGTGGCTTTTGAGAACAATTTACAGGAAAAACAAGACAATCAGTGATAAACCATCCTATCATAGGCGATAAATGAACCAGAAAATAACGACATATTTATGCATCAAGAGTTTTTAAAAAGAGCTTCTTCGAGATTTAGTTATCTTAGTATAAGATAGAAAATATGCTAAATTATTAACTAGCAGGTATCTGCTTCTTAAGATATAGTTCTAGCCAACATTGACCTTTACTCTTTGTAATCATAGATTCTGACAATTACACAATCAAGCCGGGAGTAACGTAAATGTAATTTATGTATATAGAGCAGCTAGATAAGACTTCTACCATCAGATTGCTTAAAAACAGCATGCACAGAAGTGGCCACAATACTACATTAGTTCATTGCGAGGTTAACTCATGAGTCAAAGAAGAGTCAAAAGGTCTGCAAACTATTCTTTTCAAGACAGTGTATGCCCAAAATGTAACTATTTTTCCCTTAAAGCACTAGCATTTTATGATGTTGAATTAATGCAAGTGACGAATCCAAGTTTTTTCCTTTTCATGTAATGCAATATATCTTCTTCAGGATTGAAGAATTGCCATCACAAACTCTACGAGGATGAGAGAATTACACAATTCTAGGAGGACAAAAGAATTACCTTTCATAAAACTCTATGGGTCGTTTGGTTGGAAAAAAGTTATCCAAGATTAGTTATCCCGGGATTAGTTATTCCATCTTTCCATGGAGATAAAAAAACACTACAATCCCGGGATAACTAATCCCGGGATTAATTATACCGCAATTTTCTCCCAACTAAACATGGGATACTCTTCTTAAATTTAGTCCCGGGATTAATTATTCCTTATCCCTCATACCAAACGAGCCCTATGGGTTTATTTTATTGAAGCAAATATGAGGACATAATAAAAAATATAAACTAAAAATGAATGAAATATCATGAAAATCTGATGTAATACCTGAGTACAACATCATCTCAGAATATTGCATCAAGGCCAAACATAGGAGAGACAAGACTCTCCATGAAAGTTCTAGTCCTTCCAAACTTAGTAATTATTCCATCAACATTCAAATCTCTCCACTGTTTATCTTTCTTATTGTAGACAAACAACTTCTCTTCTCCACTCACATCCAAAACAATATCATTATCACTCATTAAATACAAGGGGGTGAAACCTGAATCTCGTCTTGTAACACTAAATTTGTGTCGGATAACCATTGCTTCGCTCTGCTTCATGCAATGAAGAAACAAAGCAATAGCTTTTAATAACATTGAGCTAGTTAATTGACAATTTGACACTACCATGACTTATGAGGAAGAAATATTGCAAGTACTGTGACAGGGGATTTTTAGTGCAAGACAAGGTCTAATGATTGCTTCAATGAAGAGGTGGTGATTGTTACCTAAGACCAGATAGAGTTTACGATTGCAATCAACAAACTGTTTCCTGCTACTTCCCTCACTTGCCTAACAAATTCTTGCACGGTGATCTTTCCCTTTTGATGATCATTCTGATATTTTCTTATCAACTTGATAGCATGAGAGGCAAGATATTTGATAATCTAGTGATACAAACCATCAAAGGAAATCCTTGGTAAATTTAATTCTTTGAAAGAGTTGGAAATTCATCAATCCCTTCTGAATGAGACGAAGCTCTGAAACTGACTACGACTTCAGAGAAGATATGTGTACTGAGGCGACTACTCCAAACTATATACTTCTTGGAGATATCAAGTTGTCAACCCCAGAATAAACATCCCCTGAACTTGGTTTAAACTGTTGTGAACAAGGAGTTACTACTTCCAATCTTCCTAGAACCAATTCGCAAATCAATAAATGCCTTAGTCTTGAATAGAAGTTTGGAGACAATCAAGAAGGTAATCAGGAGCAGAAAATTGAACTCCATGACAGAACTTGGACAAAACCATATTTCTTCTTTAGAAACTCCATACCAACCAACCTTCCTATTAGCAGTCCTGTTGCACTTTTTCTCCATGGCTTTAGTAACTAGAAGGAAATATCGGAACTTTGTTTGTGAAACAAAGCTGGAACAAGCATCATATGAATTAATGATGCTAGTGCACCCAAACCAGATACAGACTTAGCCCTGATAACTTTATGCATCTTATGATCTTGATTGATTAGCACCAAGTCACTACCAGATAAACGAGTTCTTTCGTTAGTTTTACTCCCTGAAACCCCACTCATCCGATCTGGAGTTGCTAGACTTCATTCTCCACTTTTGCTATGAGGATTTGTTCTTGAGCTCGATTTCAGCCGGATCTTCAAACCTGTGCCTCTTCGCATTTAGCATGTTGGGCCACCATGGTTAATTCTGGTGAAAAGAGAGTATAAAAATCAAGAAGAAAGGATCGAATATACTCGAGGTTTCTTGGACAAAGAGGAAAAGAAACCGCTGGAGTAACATCCTTGGAACTAGAATATATTGAGATCCAAGCCTCTGCGACTTTGTCCACAGTTCTACTTTCTATTCCATAGAACCAGATTAACTCCTGTGCAAGGCATAGAACAAGCGTCAAATGGTATTATGCGGCATTACCAGAAACAAAAATGGATATGCCACCCTGTAGTAACATGAAAGCAACTTCAGAAGAATAAATATGTAAACTAGCAACATTTGTTAAAAGCAAGGGATTTGGCTAAAGGTGTAGCCTTATAATACTGCTGAAACTGTTACCTATCAAAATTGCTACCACGGTGTTCCTATGCAAATAAAATAGTGCTTTTGAATAATTTATAGGGTAAACAAGACAATCAGCGACAAACCATCCTATTGTAGCAAATAAATGAAGCAGAAAATGACAACACATTTTTGTATCAAGAGTTCAAAAGAGCTTCAAGGTTTGTCTATCTTATAGCATGAAACAAAAAAAAAACACTAACCAGCAGGTATCTGCTTCTTAAGCTATAACACTAGCCAACATTGACCTTTAGTCTTTGAAGTCATAGATCTTGACAAGTACACGATCATGAGGTAGCAACATAAATGTTATTTCTGTATTTAAAGCAGCTAGATAAGACTTACGGTCAGATTGCTTAAATTTACATAAACTATTCTTTTCAAGACAACGTATGCCCAAAAAGTAACTATTGTTTTCCCTTATAAAGCACCAGCATTTTGTGATACTGAATGCAAGAGACAAATCCAAGTTTTTTTCCTTTTCATGTAATACAATTAATCACTGTATGTTTTCTTCAGGCTGAAGTATAACCATCACAAAACTCTATGAGGACGAGAGAATTACCAATCACACAACTCTATGAGGACAAAAGAATTACCATTCATAAAACTCTATGGGTTCATTTTATTGAATCAAATGAGGACTAAATGAAAAATATTATGCAAAATACACCAAAAATTAATAAGGCTCATGAAAGTATTGATCTAATACCTGAGTACAACATCATCTCGGCATATTATATCAAGCACGATGGTAACCTTCAGTTCCCTTGCTAAACATAGGAGAGACAAGACTCTCCATGAAAGTTCCAATTCTTTCAAACTTGGCAGTTATTCCATCAACCTTCATATCTCTCCATTGATCCTCTTTCATGTTATAGATAGTCAACTTCTCCGTATCCACATTCAATACAACATCATCATCACTGATTGAACAAAATGGTACCGAACCATACTCTAAATCCAGTCTAGCAATCCTAAATCTAGTCCAAGACTCCTCATCTCCATACTCTCTCATCATCCAAACATCAACTTCGTTTTCTAACGTATCAAATAACATACAAAGACACCCTCTAAGAGCCGAAAGCTTATTAAACACAAAACTATTGTTATCAAGTGTAGCAGGTGTTGGCACCTCCAAGAATTTCTCATTACTTAAATCAAAAGCAACAATTACATATGAATAATCAGGAGCTTTCCTAGCCAACCAATGCAAAGCCTCATTTACCAAAACCCCAGAAGCACGCATACGAACTGCATGATAATGAGGTAAACTCTGAAGTCTCTTCCATAGACCCATTCTCAGAGAGTAGACATCAACAAAAGTACTTTCAATATGCCCTCGATATCGAGAAAGAGAAACCACCTTATAATCATCAGTAGCAAAATCATACCCTAGACCATACACGCTACAGCTACCAGGTAAGGGAATAGCCAAATGAAAGTTTGGAATTCTATGGTACTTTACGGTTGTGGGGTTTATTAAATACTTAATCATTTCATCATTCAATACCAAAACCAAGCCATTACATGAGCCAACAACTCTTACCCAGTTATATGAGAGCTGCTGAAAATTAAGTTTTCTTGAAATGGCATCAATTGTTCCATTTTGGGGGTTGTGGTTAAAAGTGATAGTATGAAGAGAGTTTGAAGCAGAGACATAAATGAGTTTCTTTTCTTCTTTATGGGCATGGATTGTGAGGTGAAATTTGATGAATTGCGGGTCTGAGAGAAAATTGTGCCACTGATTTGATACGCACTTGTATTGACCTACGAATTTTGCAGGGAGCCGAGAGAGTATGTCAATTATGATTTCTTGAGGTAGGGTTTCAGCTTTGCTCATCGCCATGGTTGAATTTGGATTTGGAGGAGAAAGTGAAACTAATTTAAGGTATTTTCTTGTATCTGTACTCTAGTGGAGTAGTTTTTTAACTTTTGGAAAATCATTGATAATAAAAAAAATTTAAGCTAATGGATGGAAAAGTGTATTCAAATTTCTTTTCCAGCAAAATTTTCTCTTTCGACTTGATTGTGCTTTTGGTAATTGGTGCTTCGAAGACACTCAAACACATAACACCATCCTCACCTATTTTACCACTCTTTATACCACTGAAATCTACCCAATCCCCATTACCAGGCACACTGTTGTGCCCCTCCCTTATCTCATCCACTGATACGTCCAACCTTCTAAACCCTGTAACTGACTTAGAAATTCTCTCAGCGGTTAAGTCATTTAAACCTTTTAAAGACCTTCACCCTTTCTTTTATGGAAATTTTGACTTCTATAACAAATCTTTACACCCTATTTATTACAAATAAAAACTATTTTAAAATATTATTTTCTATAACTACCTTTTAATTTTTATAACAAAATATATATTTATGGTCACTTCCTACTGTTAAGACATTAAATACGCTGTCTAATATTTTTCTCTCTCGTTCTTTTAGTTTATTCTCTCCCAAAAATCACCGTATCTTATTTCTCTCTACACGATTTCTCTCTCACAGCTCCATTGTCTTCTCCATTGTTGAACCATGATTCTCCTTTATTTGCAGGTTCTCTCTCTAGATTGTTCTCAAACCCTAGATCTCGATTTGCTGGATTTCATCTCTGTTAGCATGAGTTTCAAAATGTCTTGATCAAAGTTTCTGATATGAGTTGTATTTTTTCCCAAAGTGGAGCGAACATGGTCTGTTCATAGCTGAATTGATTTTGAATGTTGACATGGAAGAGGAAAGGACAGAGGAGAGTGTGGCGGCGGCTAATGAGATTAGGATTAGGTTTGAGGAAATGGGTTAAACCATTCACATATAACAATGGAATTGTATTTGCAGGTTCATCAGCAACCATTGAAACCGAAAGGAGAATAAAAATACGTAATGACCCTAATTGTAGATGTATTTATATGTATTCGGGTCCGCATACATTGATTTTTAGTTTGTACAGTGGTTTTCTCTTCTTGTATTTGGATGTGTTTATATGTATTCGATAAGGCATACATTGATTTTTATTTTGTACAGTGATTTTTGACTGTTGTATTTAGATGTATTTATATGTATTTGAGTTCATACAATAATATTTTTAAATAAATTGTTAGTTATATCATTTTGATGTTATTCATCAATTAGTTATGCATTCAATCTAACTGTATTCATCTGTATTTTCAACCTAATTGTATCCATCTGTATTTAAAATAACAATACAATGAAATACAATAAAATACTCTCAATACAATTAGAAAATCAATGAATACAACCAATGAAATATACTCAATAAAGCAGCAATACCATGTATTAGGAATAAATAAAATATTGTGAATACAAAAATAAACTTGAATACATTGAACACAACTGTTAGATACAACAGAATACAAACACTAGATTTATTATGAAATATGTAGGCAATAGGTTACTATTACATGTTGTATCCGACATAAATACATGATGTATTCATATACAGAAAATCGAATTTCAATGTATTTCTGTAGATACTTGTATCAATTCCGAGTAGAACCTCGAACAATGTTAGGAAAAAAAAAACTCGAACTGTATCAGAAAAAAAAGGGACTGAAACTCTGAAGAATGCTCTGTTTTTTTGGTGTTTAGCGTATGATAAATCTTCTCATTAATTGGATTGATAATGTTGTGTGTTATAATTACTTTAGTTGAGTTATATTAGTAGTGTATCCCGTTAAATTAACAGCTTTCCGTTATTAAACAACTGAAGAGACCTATTATTATGTTGTATTCATGAATACATGTGAATACAACGGCTAACAGCTGGATTGTCCTATTTTTTAGCCGATATTTACTACTGTATTCATGAATACAATAGTTCGAATACACCGAATACATTACCATAATAACTGAAAGGTAGTTACGGAAAGTAATTATGTATATGGTAGCTATAGGAAGTTAATAGCCACTAAACAATAGTCATTTCTAAAAATTCCTCTTCTTTTATCAACATTTTTGGCCCGATGTTGGCCTTAAAGTGACCGCTTTCTGTAAACAAATCTTTACTGACTACGAAATTCCAGCCAACATAAACCAAACCTATCTCTGTCTAATCCCTAAAGTGCGCCATGCCTACATGTTCTCCCAATTCTGACCAATTGGACTATGCTCTACTATCTATAAGATCGTAACGGAAATCAACGTACAACGCATCAAACCTCTCATGAGGATATCACTAGCCCTACTCAATCCAGCTTCCAACAAAATCGCAGAGCAGCGGATAATGCTATCATAATTCAGGAAATTTTATCGCATTTCAAACATAAATCGGGTAAGACAAGCTTCATGCTGTTAAAACTGGACCTTGAAAAGGCATTCGACCATATTGAATGGCCTTTTGTTCGACAAGCCCTACAATACTTTCAATTCCCTCCTCCACTCATTAAACTTATCATGTCATGTGTCACCACTACCTCCCTATTAATCCTTATTAATGGTACTTGCACCTATTTTTTCACTCCCTCACGTGGAATTTGCCAAGGAGATCCTTTATCCCCATACCTATTTATACTATGTATGGAATTACTTACAAGAAAAATTGATATGGCAGTGGATTATCAACTATGGTGCCCTATCTGTTTATCTCGTCATGGCCCACCACTCTCTCATTTGTTTTTCGCGGACGATATTATCCTCACATCCACTACTTCAGCCACTAGTTGTCATGCCATCATTTATACTCTTACCGAATTCAATCTAGCATCGGGTTAAAAGATCAATTTTCAAAAATCAAAAATTTTCTTCTCTAAAAATTGCACCCCTCAAGATAAATTTTTTATTCTTACCTCTATCCCAATTTTAGAAGGGACTTCCTTTGAAAAATACCTTGGCTTTTCTATCTTCACATCCCGACCCTCAAAACGAGATTTTCAATTTCTTCTTGATAACTTTAAAACAAAACTTGGGGGTTGGAAAATAAACTTCCTTAGCATGGCGGGTCGCACCACCCTTATTAACTCCACCCTTAATAGCTTACCAAATCACGTAATGCAGTATATTAAAATCCCTCAATATATCATTCATCAACTAGAAATATACCAGCGTAACTTTTTGTGGGGGACAACTCCCCAAAAGAATAAAATTCATCTTTTATAATGGAGCACAATCACTACCCCGAAGCAACATGGTGGCCTGGGCATTCAAAAACTCCACTTGAAAAATCAGACTTTGCTCGCCAGTCAAGCTTGGCGATTACTTAAACAACCTACTTCACTGTGGGCTGCCACATTGATCCATAAATACTTCTACCGCAGACGAGATGCAACCACCGGTGGCTCCTTTATTTGGGCAAACCTTATTGCTGGCTAGCACCTTTGCCAACAAGGAATACGATGGATCCTGGGTAAGGCACTCTTATTTTAGACGGACACTTGGTTACCATCCCATACACCCATTTGCAACTACTTAGTTGGGACCGTGTCCCGTAATGCACATACTCAAATGGTCTCTGACTATTTTCCCGTGGACAATGGGATTTTACATCCCTACCCTTTGAACTTCCACCTCCACTACTTCAGAATATTCTTATTATACACATCCCTTCCTATACAGCTTCCTCAGACTCCTACGCTTCAGACTCCTACGTTTGGACTCTCACGCCGCATGGGAACTTCACCACTAAATCACTCTACCACCATTTACTTCCACTTTCCTCTAGACACTCCTTCACGTGCATCTGGAAACTCCAACTACCTCCAAAAATAAAACATTTTCTCTGGATATGCGGACATCATCGTCTACCCACCACTGCCCACTATCATCACCTCGGCATACTAAACACTGATGTTTGTGCTAGGTGCTTTACTAGTCTTGAAAATATTAGATATACCCTCCTAGATTGTCCAGCCAACACACAAATATGAGATGACCTCCAAATGCTCCCCAAAATTGCTAAACTCCAGGGACGTGATGACTCCCCTATTCAGTGGCTAAAACAACTTATCTTACATAACGATGTCCCTAACTCCCTAAATATCTCCAATTCCATTCTCATACCTGTTACACCCTGTGCGTCCCAAGGTGACGTAATAAATATGAGACTTATTAATCATGATTTAAATGAGTTTAAAGTCATAATATGTCTTATACATGATGTTTGGATAGAAAATATAAAGTTTGGGAAAAATCGGATTAAAGTTGCGGAAAAACCGACTAAGGATTTGCCTTGTAACAAAGCATTTTGAACAATAAATTTCGTGTGCTATATAGGGTCCTTTTGGGACATATTATATACCAAATTGAAAATCTAAGAGTCTAGTTTTCAACACATTAAACCATTTATCGATACGATATTGGAGTAAAGAGATATCCATATTTTTGCGAGACTGCACAAACAGCTCGGTTGGGACCCACTTGAGATGGCCACCGACCTTACGTCTTTTAAAAGATGTTTCAGCCTCATTTCGGGTCATTTATCTCCCAAATTTCGTCCAAAACCTCTCCAAAACCCTCCCTAACATATCTCAAGATCCCAAGAACCAAACTCAAGGGAAGTCAACTCAAATCATCATCAAAGGTATTAAAGACTACAAGAGAATGCTTCTATGATGTTGTGGTGTGATTGGGGGCTATTTGAGCTAAGTTGAGATATGGTTTCGAGTTGTAGCTGCTGTTTAAGGTATGTATAACATCTTCTTAATTGTGCCTAAGGTTAATCTTGTGTTGGTTGTGTTGTTTGAGTGAAAAACCATAAGATAGCACTTGAAAGAACATGGGATATGGTTGTCTTTTTGGTTGGACTATTTTGTGGCTAAATATATGGTTTGTGGTGGCTGAAAATTGTGAGAAATAATTTGATAATATTGTGGATATTGTTGTTAAGTTTTTATAGGTGTTAATTAAGTTGATTGAAGAAAAAAAGTTGAAAAATAAGTGATTGACGATAAAAATTAAGGTGCTAGATGTATAGGGCTGTTTTGGAAGGCATTTTGTGGATGTTTTGAACTAGAGATAATATAGTACATATAAGTATGATATTTTGAAGGTTGTAAACTAATTTATGGAATAAGAGTTGGATTCAATTTATATATTGTTATGAGTAAAAACGAGCTTGCCGCTTAATATGATTATCAAGATAATCGGAGAAACTCATATTGGATTATATTATTGTTGTTGCTATTGTTGGATATAGTTTTTGTTGTTGGGCTATTGATGACCCTTAGCGGTATTTGGGATGTATTAAAAATAGGGGAGTT